CCATCTCGAGGTGATCGGAATACATTAGCTAGAACCAGAACTTTCTCGAACCAACGCGGTAATTCCAAATATTTAATTACGCTTAATGCCACCTAGCGGGTAGCTGAAGAAGATAGTACATTGTACCACTACTCGCCACTAGATGTCGTTAAGTGTCACAATACACAATAATAATTGAAATGCAAAAAAAGCGTAAGTTTGTTCAGATCACGCACTTTGCGACTATCCCAGTCTAGAAATATAGTTGAGGGCAGAAATTGACCCTTGGAACAAACTGAAAAAATCATTATGGCCCGAAAGCTTCAAAGTTTGGAGACGCCTGTTCTAGACCACAACATCTATAGAGTACCCTGTCAGGACCCGACTTTTCTGAGTCACCAAGGGGCCTCAATCATTGACCATATCCTATGCTCAGAGAGACTTGTGGAATCGGTCGAGGATCAGGCCTATATTGGGGACACAGTCACATTAGATCACCTCCTACTTCTTGTCCAAATCACACTCAACCTCCAAATCCCATCAACACCCAAAACCATCTCCTTCAAAAACCACAAGTTCACAGACGTAAAATGTTTTCAATCCCTCATAACTCAAAAGCTATCACTTCTAGACAATCCCCCTCTCAATCATCCCAGACGAATAGACTCACAATTCAACGAAATCCAAACAATTATCAACGTCTCCGATGACGTAGCCACCCCCAACTTCAATTAGAAGAATAGATCAACTGCTTCTCCCTCCTTACTTGATAGCCGTTATCAGAAACAAACGGAAGCTATATAGGAGTTATGTACGAACCAGAGACCCAGCACTCAAAACAGAGTGGAACCGACTGAACGCCTGTACCCAAAATATTAATTCTCCCTTCGGTACTGTCGCCATCCTCTTAGACATCGAAAAAGCATTCGACAAGGTCCGGCACGCTGGCCTGATATGGAACCTTATTCAAATCCAACTTCTTCCTCACTTCATCAGACTAGTCGCGTCCTATCTTACCAACAGACAAATTCGTGTCAAAGTAGGCGAAACCCTCTCCTCCCCGTTCATACCCAAAGCCGGAGTCCCCCAGGGATCAGTCCTCGCTCCCTCCCCATTCCTAATATATGTTCACGATTCTCCCTCCACTCAAAAAATCCTTCAATACGCAGATGATACAATCCTTCACTCCTCCGCCACCAACACCCGTATCCTGTAAACACAAGCCCAAACAATGATTAACCACTTTGAGCAATGGTGCAACAAGTGACGAATCAAAATAAACCCCCTCAAAACCCAAACAATCCTATTTAAGACACCCCAATACCACGACTCGTCGTAAACTCAATACTAACGACTTGAACCAGATACTGTTAGAAAAGAACCTCCACCTCCAAGACTCCTGGTCCTACCTGGGGGTCACTTTCACGAGGATCCTCAACTGGGAGACCGACCTCAGAGAAACCCTGAATAGAGTCAGGAAAAGGGCGAATCTCCTAAAAGCGCTGAGAGGCAAACTCGGCAGATGTAACAGTAAGACTCTCTTACACATCTACAAAGCCTTTATAAAACCTATCGTGGACATAAAGCCGCGCTCTACTGCACCCTCTCCCAGAATCAGATCCTACGTTTACTAAGACCCGAGAGAAGAATCCTAAAAAATATCCACAACCTTCCATTCAGATATCCCTCCCAAGACTTATATAACCAAATTGATATTACACCTATCAATCTGAGATTTCAGGAACTCCAGGGCAGATATGAATNAATGAATTATATTAATACCTCGATCGGAAAGTGAAAAAAAATATTATCATTATCATATCTGAAAGTGATTTCGAATAGGGTGAAAGTAACCAGGTTCAATTAAAGGCTACGAAAACCCAACCATTGGTTTTCTCCAAAATAGTATCAGGTCAGACCATTCCGCTTTCTGCTTCAATAAGTTTGTTTGAGGTTAAAATGGACACCAATGTCACTGGAATTGCAAAGGCTGCTTCTCAAAAGCTTGGAACACTGTTCCGCACCAGAAAACTGTACACACTTAAACAACTTCCGATGCTCAGCTCAGATCAGACCTTCTTTGGAGTATTGTTCTCCTGTATGGAGCTCCGCCCCCAAACATAACCTGATGCTGCTGGATTCCATTCAGAAAAGTGCCTTCCGCCTGATTGGAGACACGAACATTACGTGTAACCTTGATAGCCTGGAACATCAAAGAAATATTAGAGATATGTCTCTTTTATAGATAATTTCACGGGAAGTGTTCTAGAGACTTGACACATTTGATTCCACCAAGAGCCTACATATACTTTCGCAAAAGCACCGCTTTTTTACTTAAAAAGGCATCTCGTGTAGTATCTTGTTTTTTTTTACTTTCGCTCCTTCCGCTCAAAGATTCGATTAAGAAAAAATCGCACCCTATTGTGGAAACATAGACTAGAGAAATTATAGAAAACATTTCACAACCAAACACGCTACTCCGACGTGGAATTCGAATTTCAAGTTTGATTTCGAAACTAAATCAAGTTTTGTTTCTGTTTTTGAAATCGAAACTAGTCGTAAGCGAGTCCGTTTGGTGTAAATCCGCCTTTAGCAGTCTAACAAGGTCGATATTAGCTTTCTTCAAATTGATTATCTCCTGTTTCAATTCATACGTGTAGCAGTGTATCAGTTTGTTTACTGTCATTTTAAGTATTGCTATTTAAGAAAATGATAATGACGTCATAAGTCGAACAGCGAAGATGTTATCCAAAATATGCGTTGATCAACAAATGCCAACTGATAAAGAAACTCAAGCCTGGGCTTTTTTTGCCCCAATGGTCATATCGAGCTTCTAACGAATTTGTTCGAACCTTTACGTGCTCACTGTGTATAGTACGGAATAACTTCATTGAATTTTTCATTATGGATTGATAAATGAAAGTTGAAACCATGAGAGGAACAGACCACGGCTGCTAGGAATGTTTTCAGTGGCAATTTTATAAAGAGATAAAAAGTTTCCGTCTTGCTGTCTTTCCTGAAACTGTCTTTGAAATTCAACATCATAACATCAATTTGCTGGAGAAATAGAGAGTGGAGGTGGCATCATATCGAAACACTGACACATGGAACATGTTCTAGAATTACCTTTAGACATGAGTTCCCAGGAGATCCGAATATATCAATGGAATTCAAGTAAACATTTTCAGTAGATCATACAGCGAGCTAAATAGATTTCTTTCTCACCTCTTCACGTTTCCCTCAATTTATAGTCCTATCAATGGAATTTCGAAAATAAAAATTTGATAAGACTATTGTGACATAATTTTGTGATTTCAAAAGCTGTTTTTCACTTCCTTATTTCTAACGGGACTGTTCGTTTGTCGACAAAGACACCTACCTGGTGTAACGAATAGTCAGAGTCAGAAATGCTTTATTGTCATAAAAATTGAGGTTTTGTTGACAAATCAGGCTTAAGAACTAAAACAATCTGAAACATCAAAATAAAGATTAAGAATTGAAATAAGATATTAATATTGCTCAAGCACACTTCAAAAAGTCTATGGTAAAAGTCTGTGATGAAAAAATTTATAAGTTGCAATTATAAGCGAAGTCATCCGAACTTGACTCATTAAGNATAAATGAAAGTTGAAACCATGAGAGGAACAGACCACGGCTGCTAGGAATGTTTGCAGTGGCAATTTCATAAAGAGATAAAAAGTTTCCGTCTTGCTGTCTTTCCTGAAACTGTCTTTGAAATTCAACATCATAACATCAATTTGCTGGAGAAATAGAGAGTGGAGGTGGCATCATATCGAAACACTGACACATGGAACATGTTCTAGAATTACCTTTAGACATGAGTTCCCAGGAGATCCGAATATATCAATGGAATTCAAGTAAACATTTTCAGTGGATCATACAGCAAACTAAATAGATTTCTTTCTCACCTCTTCACGTTTCCCTCAATTTATAGTCCTATCAATGGAATTTCGAAAATAAAAGTTTGATAAGACTATTGTGACATGATTTTGTGATTTCAAAAGCTGTTTTTCAGTTCCTTATTTCTAACGGGACTGTTCGTTTGTCGACAAAGACACCTACCTGGTGTATGATGTCCATCTTGTTAGCCCAAAGAAGTATAACTTCTTTCTTGCGCACACTCTTTTTTTGTATCGATTTTGACGACTTTGCCTATTTATGATTCTGATGATTCTACCTGCCGAAGCTATAATACAAAAAACTGTTGTAAAAATATTCTAATGACTCTTCGATTAGTTGAAATTGAAATAATTCGTATTATTATTTATCATAAATCATCACTACGTTTTCACTATCTGAAGCCAGGCACAGAAAAGATCCTTATGAAATTTCATCCTTTACACATAGAATCGATATTGATTCAAAGTTCAGACAATACTACCACCTGTTACATCCGTCCCTTCACACACAGGGGAGCCCACCTATTCACGAACAATATAAATTTTAAAGTGGAAAATTGGAATGTTACAATATTAAAAATAAGCAATACATATTAATGACCTCTTGAGAAATTGATTATGAGCAATCTATTTTTGTTCATTTGTAGATGATGAATTAATGATGATTAAAATCGCCCTGTTTTGCAGCAAAACGGTTCACAAGATGACTAACTTATGTTCAGATTCAACTCAATCCACTTTTTCTAGTTAAACATTGTTTTAACGATGAATAAATCATTATTTTAAATGTATACCTCAAATTGTGGACCGTAACGCTACTGATTTGAGAAAGTCTGTAAATTAACAAACGATTTTCTGTGTCCCCGTCATGACAAATCCAAAAATGAAGGAAACACTTCTCTTTTTACACATCTACGAATCTTCTTGTGATTTCGGTGAGGCTGATAGCCATCCAATTCGCCAGCGCCAGCGTTTTTCCATCTCTTTCCTTTCCTATGACCATTTTACCATTTTACATGTCCAAGTCGGCCGCGTTTGTTGATTGTCGCATTTTATTTCTTCTCAACGTAAACCAGGTGCGAGAGTCTACCTCTTCTCACGTTTGAGGTCGCTGCAGTAGTTCGCAGTAACGGTCGAAAACTTTGAACTCTTGCTTGCCGCTCATTCCTCTGCACGCTGTTATGAAGAGTGGTGGTTGACGTCACACAGTTTCTCGCGCGTCAGTTTCGTGAATGTGTAAGATCCTCGAAGCTGAACAGTGAAATCTGGATTATTTGTGCAATTGATGGATGTTTAAGGGATTACGAGTGGATATTATATCAAGTGATGGTTGAAATAAGGTGAAATTGTGTTATGTTTTTTTGTTTTGTTTTCGAGGACAACCACCAACAATGAGGATTTAAATTGTGGAGTGCGTGTATTGGAATTTTTACGAACTTGACGAACTTTCACAACGAAAACGATGGGTCTCTGCACAAAAGTGACGCTGATTTTCCTACTAGGTATGTTGCATGTTCTGTTAATCTAATTTTCTTGGCATTTCAACGGTTTCATACGCCGCCGGCTGTATTCAGCAACAGTAATTATTATCGAGTGATTTTATATACTACCTGACATTTTCCCGGTCAAGCGGTAAAGGATTAAATTATTCAGGATCACTGTATGATAATCTCGTATCGGAGTTGTTGAACATTGCTCATCTAAAAGAGCCTTCTTTGAAAATTTGCCTAATTTTGCAAGATGCCCTTTAGCTAATCCGATTAAATGTTGGAGGATATACATTTTCCTGACATTTACCTTTCGACTGTGTGTTCGAGCAAATGAATAAAAAAATGATCTGTTTGTATCTAATCCTTGAAACATTTTTGATTTACCTTAATTTTCTCTTAATTTTACACTTGAAATGAGAGGTATACGTGGATAGTCTTCGAGTTTTGGATTTCGGTCTTTTTATATTTTGTTTTGCCCGAAGTTTTGCCCTAAAATGTTTAAGTAGGTAAGTTACTTTGTAAGTCTGCACTGAGACTGTAAATTGAATGCTCCTCATTTATGAAAATATATGAGTAGTTAATAGTGGTCGTAGTAGAATTGCTTTCTCGGTAGTTTAGGTGCCATTGTTCCTATTTTCGAAGCTAAATGGGGCCTACATCAGCCCTGACAAAAATATCTCAATCCTTTTATAGTTCAGAGAGGTTCAGAACAATATTTCTCTTTATTTTTTACCCATTATTGAAGTTTTCATTCTTTTAGATATTTCAGAATGAGACATCAACTCTTTCTCTTTCAATCACCTTCAGTTTACGTGTTTTCTCGTAGTTCTTTCTTTCTTCAGTGCATATACTCAGTTCATCTTTCTGGTCACCTTTTTCATTGCTACTTAGAATGCTACACTATATTTATTTAATAATGAGTTTCTCTAGATTCGTTTTTCCTTTTCAGTAGTTAATTGATTTATATTTACTTTAATTATTTTTGTTTTACCTTTCTGAGTAATAGAATCAGCCTCATAATAGTTATTGTTTTATAGCTAGAACTGTAGTAGCTATGTTAAAATGTAAGACCTTCAATCCTTGGCTCGCGAAAGTTTCGACTTCGTGAGCTGACGACAGATGGTGAACGGAAAAAGACATTTTTTAACACAGTATTCACCAAAAATTTATCGTCAAATACATTCAGTAAACTTCAAGTATTTAAACTATTTTTGTTATCCCAAATTCCCAAATAAGGAAACGTTATAAGATACCTAGGTATACAAGAATAGAAAGATCAAACAGAATAATATAAAAAATTCCAATTACGGCGAGATTCCTGTAACACTCGTAAGTTTTTGTCAAGCCATTTGAGAAGAAACTTATTGTTATGGATTGAAATATGAAATTCACTAATAATAACCCAATTTTCGGATATCTTTCACCTGTATTTATTTGTGTGGATACCGTGTTTGCATCGGTTATAATAAATGATACCTACTATCTTTTTTTTTGTATTTAGTGAGTAATACATTCAGTGAAAGAAAATTCCTCTAATGTCGGTATATTACTTAGTGAAACAAAATTGACTGTTCAACACTGGGTCATATGCTCAAATTTGCAATGTCATTGACATATAATAAGAATAAGATGGGAACCAAAACTGATCCTTGTAGAACACCAAACAAAATTTCCTTTTTTTTTCTAAAAGTCCTGTTGTTCTTACCATTTGATTCCTTCCTGAATTCCTGAAAAGGACGACCAAAACTGATCCTTGTAGAACACCAAACAAAATTTCCTTTTTTTTTCTAAAGGTCCTGTTGTTCTTACCATTTGATTCCTTCCTGAATTCCTGAAAAGGACGATATTTTTTCTATCTATACTACCTTCGATTTTCTTTTGACTTATTAATTTTTGTCTTCCCATTCCCACCATTTTTTTTTCAACCTGATCCTATTTTTAACAAAGATCAAATAACCTATACTTCTAATTGATTGAGAGAATCTTTTATTTATTTAAGGCTTCCTCGTTCGTTCCTCAGACTTTCCTTTAGACGCTATAATTAGAAATTTTCTTTAATTTGTTTTTCCTTGATTACTTTCGTGTTTAAAGGGTTGTTTTTCATACGGACTTTCAAAGCTTGGGAACTTTTTCCTTTTTTGCGAATAAGGTTTCCTGTTTACCTCCAAGAAATTGAGCAAGTAACGAAATTGAATGAAAGTTTCAATAAGTATAAGTAATTAGTCTGATATGAACTTGGTTTCAATTCTACATCAGGTCATGAAGAAAATATAAGTATAAAATACATAGAATTGCTTTTAACTCATACGGCAGAGTGTTTGAATATATTTGAATTATTTTTGCAAAAGTAAAACTGGTCATAATTTTGGATCGAGCCATTTAATTTTGTCTACCCAAGGGTGGAATTTACTGTTAATGTTCATTCATGTCTTTTCAGATTACAATGATTTATTTTGAAAAATATTGTGTTTCATGTTTTTTAGTATAGAACATGATTTTATTTCCTGGAAACAGTACAGGCTGTATGGAAAAAGTCATACAAAGGGTTTGATACGAAATGAATATACCATCAACAAACGAATGGCAAACACCTCATAAAAACATAAAAACAATTATAATTAACAGATAGTTAAAAGCAAATAACTACTTAGAAAGAAAAAAAAATCCCTCAGAAGTGATTTTCAAAATACTGTTCTAAGAAGTAAAAGCAATTTTGCACTAGACTAGTGTGTGATTTTGTCTAGTGCAAAATTGTCTAGTTTTCTGGAATTTTATGTTTTCTGGAATCGAATTGAATATTTTTGGAGCCCTAAAGTTTGGGGCATTTTGAGTTTCAGAAAGGTAGGTACAATAAAGTTATATTTGTGTCTAGTGTTATACTCATGTTTAGAAACAATCTTGGGGAGGGTAAGGTTGATTTTTCCAGGTTTTTGAATGCATTTCTGCATGAGGTTCTAGAGCTTAAACATTCATGAATACCATTTCCACTTCGGCTTTTATGATTAGGTTATTCTAATATTTCGGTCGTCTTTCGGTGCTTTTTCTGTATTGTGAATATGGATTGACGTTTGGTTTGTCTATCTCAAAATTTTATTCCGTATTGTTGCAGTCTTGAAATTAGGAATGGTTTCGTGAAGTTGAAACAATATATAAGTTTTGGAGAAATTAAGATACTCTCGATTGGTTGTGAACCAGGCAATGATCTCGCCTACAAAAGTTAACAGAAGTCTGTGGAAAAATAATTATATGTAAAGTTCCAGACCCTATATAAGGCCTACAAACGTATTTTGGGACTCCATCAACATATTTATATGTTCTGGCTATTTGATTATTCATTGATTTTTCATTCTAAACTGTTTTGTTTTAAGGTGGATTTCCAGCACACGGACTCGCTTGCGACTAGTTTTGTTTTCAAAAACAGAAACAAAAAAACTTGTTTTAGTTTTGAAAACAAACTTGAAACTTGAGTTCCAGCAAACAGACAAGAATTAGTCTGAGTCGCGTGTTTTCTTGCTACATGTTTTCTGTCGTTTCCACTGCAGTTTTAATCATGACCTTTCTCAAAGACGATATTTTTATAACCTCCCGCGCGGTTTTTTTTGTAATAATATATTTTGAGCGAAAGCCAAAGAAACCGAGATATTGGATTAGATCATTGTCAAGAAGACGAATAGATTATGGAATAGATAAAATTATGGCAGATTTGACAAAATGATGATCTAGGAATGAATGGAGAACTGAGATCATCGAATTTTACACACATCACAAATAACCACTTTAAATAAAGTAATATACACAATTTAGTGAACTGAATAGTTGCTTGTTATTGTCGGCGATTATATAGCGAACTCTGTTTACAAAAACACGAACAAAAAACAGAAACGTTTAGATCTTTCCGCCTACCGATGGGACATTTCGTTGTTGAAAATAACAGTGACCCGCGACACAAAGTTTTCAAAATGTTTCTTTTTGCTGTTTTGTTGTGATTTTGTCCCTTTGGTGGAAACCCGTTTTCACTAACGTGCAAATTTCTTCAGCAGTTTCCTGAGGCTCAAGCACGTGTCTAACTAAATTCTACCTACTCGGTGCTTTATATGAATTATTATATCATTTTGAAAATTAGGAAAGAAATTCTACAAATGAACTCATTTGAACATGAACAAACGTGTCTAGAAATAAAAACTTTTGTAAAAATTATAAAGTTATTATCATGGACAGTGTTATTAATTTTCATCAAGTAACGAGTCAGTCCATCATTTGAATGAAGTTACCGATGTTTACGTATCAACTGTTCAACAAGTCAACAATAGAAAACAAAATTGATGAAGTTCAATTTTATTTTGGTCAGTCAGTAGATGTTCCTGATACTTGAATTCATCGATTTTCAGTATTCCAGAAGATTGAGTTCTAATAATTTCTCTTGCAAATGAAACACGTCATAGTCGTAGTAAACTCATGGCCATATATCAAAAGATGCTTTACAAATGTCGAGTTGGTCTCCACATTCAAGAAACTACTGCTATGTTCATTTACTCTGTGGGAAAAGTTTTTCCTCTTTTGGCTTATATTTTTGGGCAAGAACTGAAAGTCAACCTATATATACTTACTGTACTCGACACTGAAGTTTTTTCTTCATGGTTTTTATGGAATTTTTTATTCTGTAAGTTACATTCAAAGTATATCGATGTACTACACCATCCTATTTTTTTTGAAGCTGGGTAAACCTGTTTCAAGTGTTACTTAAATAAGTTTCAAACAAAATACCTCTGTTTCCTCAACACTTCAAACTTCTTGATATTAATTATCATGAAAAGAAATATATTTTTTCATGAATTATATTACAAGTCTTCACAGGTAAGGTAACATCAATCTGTTGACTTTAGATAAGGAAGCAGCAGTTGCGATAAAACGCTTCTATAAATGCATTCTGTCAAGAGAGATTTGTGTTTGAACGTGCAGATAACGCAGTTGTTATACATTTAAGTCTCTTATAATGTCAAACATCACCCACG